TATATATATATATATAGTCATTTTTTATTTAAATATTTTACTTGTATATCACAAATATGGTTTCTTTGATCTGTGCAAGACCTGTATAGTTTTCAATGGCATTTGTTTAACAAAAACTATCTTATGTTTTACATTAACAAAAAGCAAATACCAGACTTACAAGCTGAAAGTAATCCTACTTTGTTATATAGCACACACTTAGTTTAGAACAAGAATATGAAATTTGTTTTAACAAAAATAATACAATTTTAATATTGCATTATTGGGGGGTAGTGGATAAAGAGGTCAGATCTAAAATATTTAATCCTACAAATATACTGCCATTCTGGTAGTTTATTTTTTGTAGTAACAAATGTATTTCATTATCTGGATGGATGACATGTAAATAAAGCAGGATAAAATGTATGATAAAAGGTATAAATGCAATACTAAGAAAATATCAAACTTCAACTACACTAAACTTCAACAGAAGAAATATTGAAATTTGTATGTTTAAACATTGAACATATTTTATATTTGAAATAAACTGGTTTTATGTTGTTGTTTTTTTGCTAACCCTTATAGCACATCAACTTCTGAGTGATTACTTGTAAACTTCTTTACTGCAGGTAGAGGAAGAAGGAGAGAATGAAGACAAAGCAGAAGGAACAGTTGTTAAAAGTCCATCAGAGTTTTCTTGTAGGTCTTATGAACTTTATGTGGGACAGGATAAAACAACTGAAGAAAAAGATATGAAAGAAAGAGCTAGTATTAAAAGTGCTGATGGTCATAGTGTTAGTGAACAAAAATATCGATTGAATGGCAGGACTAGTAGGGTCAGTATCATACTTTTGAAATTGAAATTAAATTGTAAAAGTGTACATGCTTATAAGGTTTTTAGCATGATTTGAATTACTAAAGTTTATATAATTGTAAAACCCAAATAACATACCTTAATAGATGCATTGTCCCAGCTTATTTATGTATTGTTAATATACAGTAATGGAACTTGCTCTAGTTTTAACTTTCAAATTTGAACTAAATATAGGAATAATTAGACAATTAAAATTGCCTAAATTAAAAAAAACAAAAAACATACTTACTATTTTTAAACTTTTTATTTAGAAAAGCTGCTATCCCATGAATAACTCTAAAAATATTTATACTCATGCAGTTTTTAATAATTTATTAGTCTTAATTTCTCTATAACACCAATAATCATCTTCAATTAATTAGATATCTATTTTCAGTTTTATGTAAACATCATTGATTACATTTTATTGATTCATCAAATTCATTTTTATAATTCTCATTAAAACATTTTTCTAATATTCTCTTATTTCTTTGACAGCTTACAAGGATGGTTTAATCATGTTGACCCTGTATTGTTCATTTCATATAAATGCATCCTTTAAGTTCCTTTCTCCAATTTATGTAGCCTACTAAAGTTGAATTACCTTAGACTTCTGTAGAATTCTAGGAATATCCTATTTTTCTTTATCATTTATCCTTAGACACTTATGCTTTTAGATTAATTTGTTGTAGCTCACAATACCTTGGATACCTTTAGAATATTGTGTAGTTGATCTATATTCATTAGATATTAATCTTGTTTTGTTGTTTTGTGCCTAGTAAAATACAATCCTCCCCTCGAAGTTAACTAAACTTTAGTTTGCCCAGTAAAGATGAAATTGTAATTTTGGTTTGTGGTCTGTAATATTGTAGGCATTAAGCTCAAAGCAATTAGCTATATTATAATAATAATAATGATAATAAAACCAAAACAAAGCTTAGTTCAACATTACAAAGTAAAATACACATAATCCTGGTAGAGTCGTTAATATATTGTTTTTTATATCATAAAACAATACATTTATACAAAGATATCAAGTAATTTTCGAGTTTGTTAAATTTTATAACAAATTACATGTTTATAGCATTGGAAAATAGCCAGCAAACAAAACATTTTTTTAGTGACATAAAAGCAATATAAACAACACTGTTAAATTCTGTGTTGTATAAATATGAATTCTTGCACTTTTAGATGTAATGATCAGAAATTTTCAATATATATATATATATACCACATACTTGACAGCTGATCTCATAAAAGTGTTTTGAGTTTTGTACTTTTTTTTCTTCCTTTTTGCAGTGACATGCTCTTTTATTATATATATATATATATATATCTGTACAGTTGATTCTGTACAGTGTAGTGTATAAAATTAGAGGTCATTTGATTTTTCTAGTATTTATGCTATTGTAATGAGCATGAGGGCAGTTTGTGGGCTTAGTCGTTGGGTTCAAATGTACACTTGTTACAAAGAAATTTATTTGGATTTTGGGTTGTGCGGTTGTGGGCAGATCACACAAGCCACAAACTTGAGGAAGTTTACGTGTGGAATAAAGAACAAACACAAAGACAACTGAATACAACTCAAATAACTTCTTTATTTATATATTGTTGAACAGTTCATTGATATTGAAACTCTCAAGGTTATCTTGAAACAACACACACTGTAAATCATTGAATTCTTCATTTTGAAAGTCTAGATGTACAATAATAAGACCTTCTATTATGTTCAATAACATAGACACATCATTAGTTAACACGAGAAATTTTCTCAGTCATAATCTGTATATCTGTATTAACAATTATTCTAAAATATCTTTAAGTAATTCCACTTTAAGCATTTTCAAATTTACTGTTTCTTTAGTACAGCCAATGTGCTTCACTTTTCTTTGTTTTTACATTATTGAACCTCATGTGAAACACTGTTAGACTAGATCAGAAATAACATGCTTACAAGGAGTTTGTGTGGCAAACTTCTTATAGATTCTGGATTACTGCCATCTTCTTTTGGAGTCAGATTAGGTCCTTGGGCAACTTGATAAGTGTGGAGAAGTCAATGTTTAGAGTCAGAAACACAGAACTATATACACAATTTTTAGTATTATTCTGATTGTTCAAGAAGTTTAGAAGATTTACTTTCAAAAGTAGTTCTTTTTCATTTGACTGGTACAAATGGGATCTTCCAGCAACAAGTGGAGTGTTCCATCAGATTGTAACCAAACTCCACTTTGTTATTGGTCCTTACAGAACTTATTTCTGCCCTTTGTCTAATATCTTTGGTGAAATCATTCAAGACAATTAACTTAGAGTGTATAGAGACAAACCATGTAACTCTGGTCTCTTCACTATGAGTATTTCACCCTTGCCTTTCATCGCTGTGCCATTAACTGCTTTTTTTGCGACATTGGTTCATTTTGTCATGACTTTATGTAAACTATTAGGGTTCCATCTCAAACATACCACGTCTGTCGGGTATGAGAATTCATAGCTGTGAATTCTTGCACTACTGAGGTCATGACTGGAATGTTCCGGGCTAATTCCTGTGATGGACTTCAAGCCAGTATCTTCCTTGTCTTGGTATTGTGGTTCACTAGTGTCCATGTTTTTATTATAACATTTTCGATCTGCTGCTGTTTCCATACTATAAACATAAAAAATAAAATGTATTTCTTGAAAACCTTTAAGTATATGTAGACTTAGTATTTATATTCCACAAATGCTGCACTATGTCTGAAACTTTTACTTTAATGCTAGTAATTTTGTCTCACCTTTTGGCCTTCATGCTACTTATTAACCAGAGAAACTGCAACATATAGTTTCTGTATTAGTAATTTGGTTCAGAGACTTTTTTTATAGCATATATATCCTCTCTTGTTAGAACAATACACTTTTCACCCTTTCTAGATATGACCAACCTTGGTTAATTCATTGGGCAAACTTAAAATGGAGGAAAAAAAATCAATGCCTGTTTAGGATTTATAAGATTTTATTATTATTATTCCATAGAACCCATAGATTTTTTTTTCCAAATTTGAATGTTTGTGTTTTGAATTCTCTAGGTTGAAGGTTGCAACATGTTTCACAAAGCTTGAAGAACAAAGTCCATAATCTTAGATACATGCATACACATTGCTGATCACCCATATTATGATCTTTGTTTTTAATTTGGCATAATGATTTAAAAGTTCTGTACTCTTTCTTATTGCTCTTTTAATGGGTTTGGAATTGGTAATGAAAGTAATAAGATTCCTACACAAAATTCCTTACTGCTTGATATTTTTGGAGTGGATGTTTATTTTTCCATGTATTTTATCTTAAGAAAATACCTCCCATTTTAATATAATTCGGCATATTTTCTAACAACTTTTTCTATAATCACTATATCTTACAGTGTTAAATAAGATTTTCTCAAACTCGACATTACCTTGGATGGTAAACATATGCTTTGTTAGCTGATAATAAAACTTACACCTTCCTTTTTACAGCTGTGTCCTTAACAATGCTGTCACTTCATATGTTTTAAAAATATTGTTTTTAAGGAGATTTTACATTTTCATATTTTTTTATGCCTATACTTTGTCTACATACTTTTTTGAAAATTTTCAAGAATGATTTTGTTGCACATACACTGGTATTAGGCCTATATCAAATGTTAAATTATCAGTAACAAGTGTTATTCTAGTGTGTATTCAGAATGGGTTGAGGTTTTTCTGTGGCTAAGTGACTTCCTCTTGGCATTAATAGTTAGTCATTTCAGTTACACTCAAGGCAAGATATATTAATGGTAAGAAATCTCCTTAAACTTATTGGATTTATGCTAAGTTAGTGCAGGTTTTTATAAGTTTTTGGATTTTTTACTTTATTTATATATTGATGCATTTTTAAACATTTTGGTTATTTTATTTTGAAATGTAGAGTGACAGCACTGTTTGTATTCTGGGCAAATAAAAGCTGTAATTTTATCTTTAGTGACAGTAATTTCAGATGCAAAAAATATATGCAAAAAAGAATTGTTTATATATTATGAATTTTATGACAAAGGCACAAGATAATCAAAACAGATTGTAGTCTAGTAAAATAGATTGTAGATGTAGTCAAGTAGTGGCCCAAGTATCAATGTATTTTCATACAGTATTGAGGTTCATCATGGTCTCTCATGAGAATTACTTCCAAGGCCACAGGTAATTACGTCTTAGATTTTATATTTAATTCCTTTGTTTTCATACAGCATGTCACTAATTTTGCCTTAACTTTTAAATGATAGTGTTATAAAAAATTATTGTATGAAAGCAGACAATCACTTAAAGCTTTCATATCAAAAGATTCTTTCATAGCCTGTCCAGGATTAAAAATTTATAATGCTGAGCTTAATATGTTACATAAACAGTTTGAATTTCTGTAACTATATATAATTTTAATATGTATTCAGCTTCATCAGGTAAGAAGCAACAAGATACTAGTAAGCACAGAAGTGTAATTAACTGTACTCCACAAAAGCACAGTGCATCTTGCACTAAACATCTACACCTGGCAAGACAGCTGATGGCTGGAGTATTATCTTATATACATGTTACTTTGATAGATTATTCAGTTTCTTTCTCATGTGATATAGAAGATTATTGGTCATGTCTTATCATATGGTATTAGTTCTTTTGCTGCTTAGAGTAGTCTACATGAGATCTTGTCATTGTATTTTTCTTTGAAAGAAATGGCATTCGTGGCAAAGTTCCAGCATCTCATTTGTCAATAAAGACAAGGTGGAGGTGTTTGAGTGTATATTGTGCAGACTGATTTCATTTTCACTAAATTTCCTGTAATATAATCTGTAATCAGAATTACCTCATGGTAAATATGGCAAAGATCCTTTCAATTTTTTAGGCAAGTCTCAGTCTTCCTGGCTCACCATTTCATCTGCGTAGGGGAAGCAGAGGAAGCCAGTTCAGTTGGCGCAATGGTGTTCATCGTTATGGAGACAAGAAACCTTTAGTGCTTCAGACATACATGGATGCACAAGAACATCTCCCTTATGCAGATGACAGTAATGCTGTTACACCCATGTCTGAGGAAAATGGTGCCATGATTATTCCTATGTACCCCAACCTGAACTCTAGACATTCCAGCTATACATCTCACTCATCACGCTTGTCCTATACTTCCCATGGGGATGTTTTTGCCAAGGGTTTTACAAAGGAGAGTCAGCTCAGATCTCGCTCAAGAAATCTCCAAGGCCCTTATTATGAGGTTTTGTGTGCTTTTCAGTTAAATTTCAAGTTTCGTAACTTTGTGAGCATCTTTTAAGTGTAAAATTTTAACATGTTTAAGTTAAGTATTTGATAAATGAATATTTTAATATATTTCAAACTTTCAAAATAATGTACTGTAGCTACTGCTTCATGTTGAAATTGATTTTTTGATGATTTGTATTTGTTTTTTTTTTGGATACCATGATTTTTTATTTTATGAAGATAATAGATTATTATAAAAAGAAGTGGAGCAGTATTGTTTTTGGCCATTCATTCAAATCTCCTAGATATTTTTCATGTGCATTTTTATGACTCATTACTCTTTTCAAGATCTTCAATGAGGCTCATCATGTAATTTCCTCATGTATTAACATAGACATTAATATGCAAAATAAGAATTTGCTGAAATCGTGCTTGTACTTAATAGTAAGCTAACACACACTTGTTGTACTTAATAGTAAGCTAACACTCACTTGTTGTACTTAATAGTAAGCTAACACTCACTTGTTGTACTTAATAGTAAGCTAACACTCAATTGTTGTACTTAACAGTAAGCTAACACTCACTTGTTGTACTTAACAGTAAGCTAACACTCACTTGCACTTGTGCATCAGTAATTCAAAGAGAGTATCTAATAGAATGAGGTTTATATATGTAACTAATGGAAATTTTGATTCAGTATAGGGATTTGATTTTGGATAAATAATACAGGCTCATTTATCAAGAAAGATAAATATTTAAATTTGCTTTACTTCATATAGTATTATCATAAGTAGGCTTAAGCTTTGTGGTGTAATAAACATATTTAACAAACTTGTGTTATCATGTGATGTTAATTATCTTTGTTACTTTATATGTAGTTTTTGTACAGTACCTACTCATTTTAGTTTAGCATAGTACTTAGAGCCTTTGTATATTTTTCCATTTGTTTGATATGTTTAGAAGGGATAAAGCTTACCAATAACTAGGTTCTTATAACACATATTCTTGTTTGCTTAGTTCGTATATTAATTATCTTATGTGCTTTAAGTTTTCTACTAAGCTATAATACTGAAGCTTACTGCTGTACTTATGATTTTATTTTGTAATATAATCAGACATATCATTAACATTATTTTTTATGAATCTCATCGATTCAAATAAAACCTTCATAAAATCTTACAATTTTTCAAGGATTCTGTTTCATAACATTAGCTTAAGGATATTTGATCACTTTAAATCTTTAGTTTTCTTTTTAAAATGAAACAACTGTTCACCCAAATTAAAGTATTTGAACAATCAGTTACTATCACAAGAATAACTGTAAAAGAATTTACAGATTATTACTTGATTAGTTGTGCTGTTAAATTTGTGATTGAAAAACTGTATGTAAACGTTAAAAGAACAAATGATGCAAGATAAAAGATTTGAGCTATATATGGTGGGAACTTTGTCTTAATGCTAATAATATTTAACAAATTATATTGTTATTGATTAAAATTTCTTAAACTTACCTCTTTCACATTATTTATAAAATTGGGTAAATATAAGAAATGAATACATTTTCAAGTTATGTTTCCATAAAGAATTGTTTATGTATACGCATACTTTTTAATATGAATTGTATAAATCAATATGTTTCTGGGTTTGGCTACTTTGCCTCATAGACAATATTAATATTACCAATAATTCAAGAGTATTGCCCCATTTTATTAAACTGTTTATTTTTATAAACATGTTCTATCATTATTAAATATGAGAATTTCTCTGCACTAGCCATCCCTAATTTTGAACTGGAAAACTGAAGGGAAAGCAGCTAGTCAACAGTACCCACTGCTAACTCTTGGGCAACTCAAAACAACTAGTGGTACTTGACCATCACTTTTATAATACACTCACAACCCCATTGTGCAGAAAGCAATTTTCCAGCAGTTAGACATAAACCATAGACCCTTAACTTGACAGTGTGGCATGCTGACCACTAGGTCATACCCAGCCTCATACAACAAGAAAAGATAATATAAGTACCTAACACAATACAAAAATACATCAACTGAAGTATCATTGCACAATACTATAAACAAATTTAAAGTTAAAACTGTTGCATGGAATGTAATAAGAAGGGATGTGAAATTTTAAGACTTGTCTTTCCATGAATTAAACAATAATTTCAGCTAACCATATCGGACATAAACATTTTTTCAGCAATAGTGAGTTAATTTTCAGAGGTATGTTTGTTTATGTAAGAGAAAAATAAAAATTATATTACTATTATATATATAATGTGCTCTTAATACCATTATATACATAGGAGGTGCTCTTAAAATAATTTTTTAAGTATATAATTCTTTTACTCTTTAATTTATATGTATTTTAGTATGTAGAATGAAAATAATTTCCTTACATGATTGTATGTATATTAAGGGAAATAAGGAGATAGTATGTATGTGGAGAATGTTACTAGTCAAGAAGAAGAAAATAAAGCTTAAATTGTATTATAAAAATCCACTAACAGTAAAACTATGTTTTGCTTCATTTCTACTATAATGTGTAGTTTAATTATAGTGTTTAAACTGAAAATGTTTTTAGAAAGTCAGTTATACTGCTTGATGGCTGCTGAGTAAGCTCGAATACCTGAAACTTTGTAATTGTGAACTTAGTAAATTCTGCTCATTTGTTTGTTTTATAATTGAATTCAAGTTCAAAATCCTACATGCAACATCTGTAGTAGCATGTAAACAACTATTTTATTGGAATTCTCATGTTGTGATTACTAATTTTACATAGTGTAATGTAGCATACAAGAAAACATTAATATTTTATTTAGAAGTTTAATTTTCATTATTAATTGATAAATTTATAATAAAAAATAGTATTATATGGTCTTATGTTTATGTTGTATAATTTTTTTTCTTATTAGTGCTGTTTAGCTAAATTTAGTAAATATATATGTCAAGTAGTGTTCACAGTACTTATAAGTACACAAATTCTGGTGATATACAATAAGGAAGCAGACAAACATCATGTTTTACTCTTACATTTAACACATACACAGACTGAACAAAATTTTCACATTTCTTTCAATGTAAAATAATAGGATATTAAAAAATGAATATAAACGTGAAAAGATATATTTATCACTTTGAATAGATGGCCTTTGAGATATACTTGTGAAAGAAATATTTCCTTTAAAAATACATGCGTTTGAAAATTGAATGTAATAAAATTGATATTTTAATATTTGAACAGTGATAATTCTATAACTCCAATAATTGTATTACATAACGTAATTGGTGAAGTTGACATTATAACTTCAGTTACTGAGTTTTATAATGTAACTGTTTAAGCTAGTAGATACTGTATAGTGTAATTCAGTTCATAGTGTAACTCATTTAGCTGATACTGTACAGTGTCAACAGTAATTTAGGTTATAATGTAACCATACAATAGCCAGGTGTCAGATTATACAGATTCTTAATATAATTAAACTTGTATATGCAAAATAACACGTGAATGTGAAAATACTTACATAGGACAAACTAGAAGAAATTTAAAATAAAGAATGAATGAGCACAAATGAAATGTTATAAAAGTGATTAGCTGAAAATACTAATGAAACTAAATACTTGATTCAATGGGAAAAACTGTTATTTTAGCACAGCCTACAAACATCAATGGTAATAATATCTGTGAATCTGTTGAGATAAATGTAATAAGAATAATTTTAAAGTATTAACTAAGGACGAAAGATTAGAGGGGAATGTTGTTAAAGGATGACATGAAATTCTTTAAGCTAAATTGTTTGTAAATTTGATCATGTGACTTTTGAACTTGTGTATAGGTCTTAACTAATGCAAAATCCTGATGATGATGCAGTCAGATGTTAACATATAGAGTGTATGCGACTTCCAAATCTCACAGTATTTTATTTTAACAATAAGTAGTAAAATAAATAACTAAAACAATTTTTTATTGTACTTTGAGACAGGGGACAATCTCATTTTCAATATCTATTGTGTACTATTAAATGTTGGTTTTATTTCTGTAATACATCTGTATGTAACCAATTTGGTTGTTACTGTACAATGCAAACAGTAATTTAGTTTATAATGTAATTTGTTTTGTTGATTCTGTACAGTTCAAACAGTTGTGATTTTACCTTCTTCTTCATGGTTGTTCTAAAGATCAAAGTATATTCTAAAAAGTGTATCTAAAAATTTGATACATTAATTAAGGTTAGCTATTTGCTCAGTGAATGTTTTAGCTATTTATTGTTAAAAAGTACAAGATCTTAAGCAATTATGATACAGTACATTACCTCCTCTCACATAAATAGTTATTCTCGTTCATTGCTGCCCTCTATGTGCAAAAAATATTTTTTGCATGCCACAAGCCTTGAGCTTCCATGTACCTTATGTACAGCATGGTTCAACTGGATCTCGCATGTAAATCATCATGTGACAACACTCCACCAATAGGAGTGTGATCAACCCTCCTGATACATGTGATTCCTTCTACGAAGGCCAACGAGGAATTTGACATCCTTTTTCCTCCATTTGATTTTTACCATGTCCTCCTGTGCCCCTACTGCAGAATCAGCTAGGCCTACTATGGTTGTTTAGACATTATTTCTCAAGTGTGTTCTGTTTATCTATTTCCCCAATTCTTATAGTCCCCTTTCTTCTTTGTTACATGATACCCTTTCCTCTTAGTACTTTGTGTTTCCCCCTTCCCAAGGTATTTGAGTTCATGCAGAGCATTTTGTCTCTCAGTTGGTTGAGGGTGCTAGCATGCCACGCCTTCCACGGGCTTCAGATCAGTTTGCTTTAGCATACCATCAGGCTGAATTTACATTTCTTGATTCTCAACAGTTGGAATCACTTTTGCCCATGTGGAGGGTGGACCCGGATCATCTTGTTCATTTATCCCATGCCCAGATTTCCTGCCTTTATGTTACTCTATCAATTCTCATACAGTATTTATCTACTATCTACCTCCTTTCTGAGGTGCTTCACTGTG